AAAGAATGTCAGTGGCAGTCTGCTGGCACAGCTTTCTTATACGTTCATGTCTCTTTTGACAGATGAGCTTTCTGATTGGTTTTTATTGAGACGTGAACACAACTGTCACATGGAAAATTTGTTCTGATAAACCAATGTGTGGACTAAGACTGTAGGGGTGTGGTGAGGTGGGGAGAGTATAATTTAATCATATCATCTAAACCCTTTCTTTCATAACTGCATTTCCCACTTCTCTCCTGACCTGAAAAGTTCATGAAAAATAAATAGCCTAGCCATAAACGGGGAAGAGCTGGAAGCCAAGAGCTGAGGGTCTTCACACACATGAAATCAATGAGCCCACCAGAAAGCCATGAATAACACTAAGAAGCCAAATGTAAACCACGGGTTTTGTTCATGGCTAAATGTGAGCTCAGGAGCTCAGATGTAACATTCAGTTAGATGGAGCCAAAGCCACTGGTCTCCACAGACAGATCACTGCTCAACACAACCTGCTGGATTTCAGAGAAACCAAAACGTTACAGTTACATTTGCTTTTATGCTATCCTCTTCAAATTTCCAACTTAGCACACTTTTTTAAATATATGAAAATATTCATGCACTAGTACATAATAGATGATGATGTTAATAATGGATAATTTATACACACATAATTCATATTAGTTGTTTTTAATCCAATGGGGTCATCAGTAGAAAAATATGGAGATTGCCAGGTGAGATTAACATTGTTGGTGAAGCTGGTAATATGAGTAAAGCTAGAAATCTAGGTAGTATGACTGGAGATAACTTTGGTCCACTACTTACCTAAGTGTTAGAGTCACTGGCCAAGTTGGTCACAAGATCCCAAAGTTCAGTTAGAGACCCAGTGACTGGACCAGGGAAGGTGACAGAGCCACTGAGATCATAGGGGGGAAAAGCAGACACCAGGCTATCCTGATTTACAGAAGAATAGAGAATGTTTTATGGAACACTTGTAAGTGTAGCCCGAGAGAGTCACAGTGGAAGTGACTTAAGAAATGACCAACACCTAAGGGAGTTGGGGACCTAGGGTTCAAGACACACATTTAGTATACCCTTTAGTCCTCCTCCTGGACCGCATTAGTAGGCAAAGCCTCACAGTAAGGAGACACAAGATCTCAGTGAGGAAGGTAGACTGGGGTCTGGCTACCACAGGGAAAGAGCCACAAAGTGGTGAAGGGGATGCAGACATAAGTGTCCCCTGTGTTCAATCCTTCTTAAGCAGCCAGCTTAATTGACATGGCTGATTGACACACATATTCCACAACGCATGCCAGCCCTTAAGATACCAAGTTTTCTATCTTACCTAAATAAATAACCATGCAAGAAAAAATTTTTAATAAAACAAATTCATGTATTTTAACTTATATGCTCCCTTAGTTATAAAACCCAAAGTTTGTATAAGTTGTAAAACTAGCAGTTTAAAACATTTAGAGTTCCATCTCAATTCAAAAGGAACCCCTCCTTTTAGTACAGTTTATAGGAAACATGTGGGCAACCCCTCCCATGGTCCTATTTGACTCCCATCCAATGGGGAAGGCTGTGAGCATTGCTGAGATCAAAACATCCCTGACAGAGACTGTCACTGACCACTGGGCTCCTACTGAGAACCAGTGCCAATGTTTCCTTGAAGACAGGAGTTTGTGATGAGGTCCAGTAATGATAATTCCCCAAGGATGCAGTCAAAGCGTGACCTAAGGAATGGTGCAGGTATCTCAGTCCTGCCTACCCACCCTCATGAAAATAAGACAATTAATCTGTATCTTCTCTGGAAGGAGAAAATAGGTCCTATGTTGAATAGGCTCTGTTTGAACCATCTCCTTTGTGGGATATGACCAGCTATGAGCTACTGTTTCTGATAGCATTGCTTCTGAATGTCTGAGACTCTCTCTCTCTCTCTCTGAATTCTGACTGTCCTCAGTTCAAAATCTTGAAAAGATCAAATAACCAGAGCTGCCTAAACGTCTGCCTTTAGATAACATCTTCCAAGACAGTTAACATTCTAGCTGATTTATACTCCTCTTTCCCCTCCCAACTCCCAGCCAACACTCACTGGATGCTACTCCTTAAGTGAGCCCTGCTTTCCAGTTGAATGAGAGTTGACTTGGGGTCATCTTCCAGGACGAAGGTTGTTGCCATCTTCCTTAACCCAACAAACAGCTGCCTCTCAGTGGTCAAGCTAAATCCATTTAGTCCATGTCTGACTTGTAGATCCACTGGAGTGGGGAAAAAATGTTTTAAAGGATTCTCAATCTTTAGAACAACCGATAATAATGGGGGGGGGGGACAGGCATCTATAAGCTATTAGTAGCCTCAGTTCTCAACCTGTGCATTATTCATGTGTGCAAACTGTCATAAAGAAACCAAATTCTCTGTGCAACCAGGCTGGAAAAGTTTCTGCACTCAACTACATTGGTATGCACATTTCTGAGGATTGGTTCAATTTAACATTTTCATGAGCGACCTGCTTAAAAGAGCAAAGAGCAAGCTCATTAAGTTCCTAGATGGGAGAGATGACCATAACATTAGTGAGCAGGATTAGAATTTCCCCCAGCCCTCGCTAAATTAGCAAAACTGTCAGAGTCAAGTATGTTCACTGGGACAGGCAGGGAAAATCGAACTGCCCAGAGGCAGGCTGAGTAGAAGCAAGGTATTGGGAAGATGGACTATGAATGCAGAAATAGACTCCTAATGGAAACTGAACTAGCCTTGGTGTCCTAAGGCCTCTTCACCCCTGAAAATACATTCAGACCCCCCCCCCCATTTTGTACAGTATGAAAGGAGAAAGCAATCCCATAAGGTTCCCAAGAAGGCCAGAGAGTATTTCCTTCTCACTAGCACCTAGTTCCAGGTCCCTGGGTCCACTTCATTAGCCTGGTTTTAGGCTCATTTCATCATCCTATTTTTACCTTGTTACAAACTACATTGATGCAGATACTAAAAACCATTCCATTGCCAGAGCACATCATCATAGCCTCCAGCAGAACCACCTCTCCCTTCTTGGTTATTTTGGCTCCTTCTTATTGTTGTTTGGGACAGAGTATCCCTGTGTAGCTCTTGCTGGCCTAGAACTCTGTATGTAGACTGGGCTAGCCTGGAACTCACGGAAATCTGCCTACCTCTGCCTCTGAGTGCTGGGATCAAAGGTGGGTACTCATGCCCCGCTACTTTGTCTCTGTTCAAGCCTTCCAACTACACTGCTTCTATAAGGAACTTAACAGGAGGCCCCTAAACAAATAAGGTTCTAACTCTAAGAAGAAAGCTGAATGAAATGGAGTCTCAAGCTGATTAATACTCTAGCCAGATTTTGCAAACTTTTCCTGTAAAGTAATAAAGAGCCCAGACTTGGGTCTTTGATGCAGCTACTCACTTACGATGATACTGTAGTCAGGAGTGTTCTAATATAACATTAGTGGACAAAAATGGATCTGGCTCTTGATTGGGCCAGAGTTTCCCAACTTCTGCTAGATTCAGTTTTGTAATCTTCAACTTTCAGAAGAGTCACAGCAGGCATCTTGTCCAACCAGTTCATTTCGCACCCGCAAAGACCAGGACCTAGAAAATATGATGATTTTTATTCACGTTCACAAGACGTTTAAGGCTGTGTTAAAAGCTTCAAACTAGACAAGAATATCCCAACTCCCAGGTCAGTGTTCTTTACTCTACCCATCATCAGGCTGTTTCCAGAAAGTTCTGAGGTTCCCTGCTTATCTGTGAGGTAGTGAAGCGTCTTCAAGGAGTCGTACCATAAAATGTCTGCTCTGCTCTCATGTCTTAGTTCAATATGTAATGCCTGGTTCAAATGACACCCCTCCCTAGGCGGGGTCAAGACAAGTCTGTGATTAAAACCTTGGGTGGGGTTATCTCTCCCCTGCAAACATCGGGTTTTAGGATAAGCAGAAAGACAGCCTAGAATGGCTTAGAAAGGGCACCTTTTCCGGTGAGTTCAAAGGCTATAGTAGTTTCAGTTTAAGTGAAGTTAAAGTTGCCTAAAGTAAACTGAAGTTAAAATCTTCATGTGCCAAAAGAAATCATTTAGGAAGAAGCTGTTCTTCATCTCCTGTGCAAATGGTAGGAGCAAGAGTGGGTTGTAGGTCAGATGGCAGGAGAAACTGCCAGAAGGGCTTGCGTGGAAGAACTTGAGGCCAGCAAAGGCGATAGAATCTCCTCGGTAACCAGATTCAAGAGTAGCATCTTCTGGGTGATGACTCTTATTGAAAGGAGCGAAGCAAAAGCATGTTCTGAGCCAACAGGAGCACGTTGAATCATTATGACGAAAGAAAACAAAACAGTTTCTTTCAGAATGTTATAAAGTGAAAAACACAAAGTGGGGTTTTGGGGGGGTTATTTGGGGGGAAAATCTGTTCCGATTTCCAAGGAGACTCCCCAGTGATACTTCATCCCATTGGTGGGCATCTGCAGAAGTGCATGAGAGAACTGGGGGTTGGAAGCTGGTAGCTCATTTCAAACATGTGTGTAGACAGGCCTGACGCCCAACTTCAGCAGAGGCCACAGGGATCCTGGGCTTTGTTTCTGCAGTGCTGGGGACCAAGATGAGGGTCTGTGCTCCGTAAGTACTCAAACTCTGAACTAAGCTCCCAGCTCTAAGGCTGGAAGGTTCCTAACGAGGAGCATGGTTGATCTGGAATTTGAAGACCCAGTAGCCTAGGCTTATTCTTCCTTGAAAGTTGGGGCCAAGTTTGTTTTTTTTTTTTTTGTTTTTTGTTTTGTTTTGTTTTGTTTTTTGTTTGTTTTTAATGAGAAGTTTCATTTTACTACCTTTGGTAAAGATAAATTACAGTGTGCTTTATGTAACTAATTAAAATGGTGCAATCTGTTCAAATATCATCTCTGGGCAGTACATTTCATAAAAATATCCTAGAAGATTAGCTGCCTCCAACCACAACTTTTCCGAAGTCCAGTTTTCCAAATAACAAACTCCTGGCGATCATAATTTTTCACGATTGTGATTTCTGTCTCCCCAGGTGATCCGGGAGCCTGCACCTCGTGCGCTGCAGGATATTACATGTGAGTGTGGCCCTCTCTGTTCACGACACTGACTTCTCTGCAGCTTAAGCATCACTGATTTAATCCTATCTCTAGTGATTAAAGCCCAGGGGTCCTGCGTCCTGAAGCCACAGTCTTGTGTGGGCTCTTAATGAGTGAGTCTTGGCTTTCGTGTGAGATTCCAGATGTTTTCTTTGTCTTGAAAGGAAGCCTTCCCTTTCTTGATCCTGGAAGTCATCCATGCTGACACCGGTGTCTAGGAATCTTGCCATGGGTCACCAAACATCCAAATCCTGCTTTTTATGGATGGGCTTTAATAATGCATCTGCCTTCAAGAGAGTTGGTTCCCAATGTCTGTGTGGGCACTTTGTCCCTAACCAGAGTCAGATGCTCCAAGGGAAGCCAGGTGTGACACTTACCTCTTAATTGCCCCCTGGGTGATGAGAGACGTTGGACCACTAGCTAAAATGAATGCAGATAAGCATCAGACTAACATTCTCCCATACAAACCTATAAAAGCCAGCTCTGCATGTTTCCACATCACCTCCTATCCAAGCCGCTCTCCCATCCAGCTTGCACAACTGCTTGTGCTAAAAGAAAACCAACACAGAGGAAAGGGCAGGTCAGACTAATACACAGTCCACATAGCTTGGTCCTACCGGGCCACCCACAGTTCTCACATCCTCTTCTCTCCATCTTTCACCAAGCTCATATGCAACTTGGGATTTGTATCGTGTCCAGGAGACAGAAAGAGAAGATCAAGGGAGGCTCTGGTGCTCTTCTCACTCGGCACCAAAAACTAGTGGCAAACCTACATCTCCATCTTTATGGGTCCCCATCTTCTGTTGCCATAGTGTCTCCCCCTGGCAGATTCTAGGATCTCAGAACAGGCTAGCATCTGAAACAATGGTGAAAGTAGTGAGCAAAAGGGGAGAAAAGAGAAGTCCAGCAAGCTAAAGCATGTCAAAAGGACGAGCTAATCTACGGCTCCAGTAGACCCCCTTGGCTGAAGTGCTTGGCTAGAATTATTTCAGATTTCACAGGTTTGTTTTTCAGATATTAGAATGGTTACATAAAAATGAGATCTCTTGGGAAGGGGCTATGTCTCAAGCTAGAGTCCGTGCTTCACAAATACCTGATGTGCATAATCAGTGCATCATCTTATACGAGATTTAAAACATGCTTTTGTGCATGAAACAAAACTTGGCAGCATCGTGTTAGTTCTCAAAAAGTTCTTAAGTTGGAAGCATTTTCAGATCTGGGGGATTAGGAATCTAATTTTATTTTATGTGCATGAGTGTTTTGCTTGTATGCACGGCACAAAGAAGTAGGCAGACTTGGAAGTGGAGTAATAAATGGTTATGAGCTGCCATTGGATCCTGAGAAACAAACGCAGGTCCCCTACGAGAGCATCTGGTGTTCTTATCCGTTGAGCCATCTCCGCAGCCCCTGCCCTTAAGTCTTCTGGTGGTAATCTAGCTTCCCTCGAATGGCTGGTCACTGCAGTAACTATATTGTCTTATCATTCTGACTCATTCATCTAGTTTTCCCATTTCAGAGAGAATGAAAAGCAGGGCTACAACTCAGTGGAAGGATACCACCTCGCTTGTGCAAGGCCCTGAGTTTGACCCTCGGGACTATAAATGAACACATTAAAATATAGAGGGATGATGAAGAGACCCCAGGTTGATGATTAGGAGATAAACTGGATGATATTTAATTAGAAGATAACTGACAGCATATCATGTTCGACAGCTACAGCAAAGGCTCTCAAAGCAGAGACGAATGGCAGGCATTTCTTAGAGAGGTCAATGAGAGGTTCACAAAACAGTACACGAAGAACTGAAGAAGTTAATCTTATTCCCTCTCTTTTTCTCCTCTTTCTTTTTCTTCTTTCTCTCTTTCCTCTCCCTCTCCCTCTCCTCTCTCTCCCACTCCTCTCTCTGTGTCCCCTTCTTCTCTCTCATTTTCTCTCTCTCACGCACACGCTCACACATACACACATACACACACACAGTGACCAATAAGAAATTCTATCCCTTTTCTTCTGACGCCCCCCCCCACATCTCTCCAATCCCTCTGTCCTCAATGAGTCTTCAATTTGACCCTTGGACAAATGCCTCCCCTGCACCTGCTTCCTCCCCACCCTCCTGACATATGACACTCACCAGATCACCACTGAGTGTGTTTCATTAAACCCTTTGAGAAAGAAATAGGCAGAAATAGCGTGCCCTCTAACACTAAGACACAGCATGAGATAACTGTTTGGGGGAACACACGTTTCTGACATTTCAGACTATTTAGCACCGATGACTAGTGGATGAGGGGCTATGCAATATAAGCTGTTAAGAAGGAATGCACACAATTCCCCAGTGACCTACTGAAGCTTTGAAATTTACTGAAGGGCAAAAGTCAGCTTCACCCCACAGCTCCTCCGGGTGAATTACAGCATCTTGCTGTGTAATGAGCACAGCAGATCATCTACACAGGAAGCCATATGGGTATATGCATAGGTATGAGTTAGCATGTACTGATGATGTCAAGGCACTTCCCTGTTTTTAATGATCCGGCTGCAGACATTCTGGTAAGTGGCTTGAACCCCACACTGGGCTGTCTCTGACTTTTCTAAGAGAACTGGGTAAGCTACATAGTCCAACAAATGTTGGCTGAAACCCGGTCCTACCTTTAAAGAGAAGTTGGACTCTTGAGGCTTGAGCATTGTTTCCCTTGAGCAATGTCTTCCCTGTGGGATGTGTGCACAGATTTGAATCACTGATACTTAACAACCGTAAAACAGTCTCAGTGACCCTCTCCTCCAGCGTCCACCCAGCTGCCCTGGTGAAGGGCTCCTCAGAGATCCAGAGGAGGGAGCAAGTGACTTGATTTGAACTGGCAGGACAAAGTGCAAGTTTCTGCCCTGGACTGCCTGGTCAGTGTGCAACAGATAAGCGAGCATGAGGAAATCAAGCCGCCGTGGTTCCTAGCACAACGCCAGCCCACCTCACGTAAACATGGCGCCGTCTCCCCCTAGGTTTGAGCAGCGCTGCTATAAAGCCTGTCCCGAGAAGACCTTCCGCGCGGAACGGGAATGCAGGGCCTGCGGCACTAACTGTAGCAGCTGCGACGAGCACGAGTGCTACTGGTGTGAGGAGGGCTTCTTTCTCTCAGGTAAGCTGGAAGATGGTGACCCCCCGGGAAGAAACGGCTGTGGGGTCCCCGCGGGCCGTCGCTGCAATAGGAGCAGTCCTGCGATGGATTTCAGCATCTCTGTGTGCTGGCGCCTAGGGTCCAGGGAGGAATGTTAATGTGATTTGAAAATAAACATTAGCCTGAACTGCTTCCTTCTGCATTTAGTGCTGAAGCATAGTTCACATTTCACTAATTAATCTCAAGTATCTCCAAGTTGATGGAAACAAGAGAATTGAGTAGAAAAGAGGGGCACTGATACGAGGGGGAGCCCTGAAAGTGAATGACTGGGCTCGGCAGTCATGAAAGGAAAAGAAAATCATGTTACACATTCACATGCACTATGTAATTGAACAAGACCCCTTGTCTTAGGTTTTGGTCAGCTCATTAACCATGCTGGAAAGATAGCTGGGGAAGAATTTTACTATGAGTCTTCCAACCAGGGACTGGCTAGCCCAGTGATCTTGAGTGTTGAGAATGGAGAACACCACAGACAATCCTCAGTGAGTTGGTGGCTCGTGTTTTCTCCCTCTCTGCTGCTCGATCCCCTGTGTGTGTGTATACAAAATGGGCACACATGTGTATGGCCTGCTTGTAGAGGTCAGAGAACAGCCTCAGGTTGCCTTCCATCTTTTGTTGGAGACAGGCACCCTCAGCAGCCTGGAACTTTGCCAACTGGGATAGATCAATTGGCCAGTGAACTTCCAGGAATCTACCTGTCCCCCTCTCCTACCTCTCCATCACTGCAATTACAAGGGTTCCACCATAGCCACAGGGCCCAACCTAAATGCAGGCTTCGGGGACCTAAACTGAGGTTTTCATGCTTGCAAGGCAAGCGCTTTCTTGCCTGAGTCGTCTCCCCAACCCCTCAATAGTTCCCCTCCTCTCTTTTTTTGAGGCAGGATCTCTCTATGCAATCCTGGCTGACCTAGAGCTTGCTGTGTAAACCAGGCTGGCCTCAAATCGCAAAAATCCTCCTGCCTCTACCTTCCAAGTGATGGGACTAAAGGTGTGTGCCTCAAGTGTTCTCTTCATAGGTTCATTTTTTTTTTTTTTTGTATTTTATTAAGGCTTAGATGTGTTAAAAAATCTTTCTTCAAAGCTCCTTGCCCTTTAAACCGATGGCCGGAAGAGAAAAAAAGTATTGCATTTATTAAAACATAGTCCTTGATTGGAGTAACCTAAAGCCATCTTGGTTTGCACACATGCAATTAAAATGTCCTGTCAAGTCCTTCAGTATCTGGCCTTGCCACGTGCTAGAGCCCAGCTGGCCAGAGTTACTCCTTCATGCTTTTCCCCTCGTCTTCCAAAGGTGGCAGCTGTGTGCAGGATTGTGGCCGTGGCTTCTATGGAGACCAAGCATTGGGAACGTGTGAGCCTTGCCACCGAGCCTGTGAGACTTGCACAGGATTGGGCTACAACCAGTGCAGCAGCTGTCAAGAAGGGCTGCAGCTGAGAAATGGGACTTGTGTCTGGCCCACCTGGTCCCAGGTTGAAAGCAAGGTCTGGACTGGTACGTACCTGCCAGAGAGAGGCCCGACATTGTCTCTGCCTTCCTCCCTCTTCAGTGCTGTTTCTGAGAAATGGGTTTTGAGGGAGGATCATGTTTGTCTCAGGGAGCTTATGAAACTCCCAGGTAGGAAGCTGAAGTAGGTGTGTGGCCCAAGAAGGGAAAAAGAGCAGAGGGCAAGATATGGATGATGTGGAGAAAAGGAAAGGGTGACATAGGATGTGGCCTAACTCCCATCTTCTCACAGGCTCCAGAACAGCTTCTATCATGTGCCTGTACCTCTACAATGAAGGAGACCTTCATCTTGGGGGTGGCCTGACACATTGGTACTGAGAAGCTCGCTGGAGAGCTGACACCGGTCTCTTGAAAGCCGCCCTCCCCAGCTGGGGTGAGGGCACATAACCCAGTGGTACTGGACTTGCTTAGTTAGGTGCATGGTATGGGGCATTGCCCTCCACACTTGGCAAAAGCTTGGTCTTTTGAGGAGGTGGGAAGGAGAAAAAAGAAATGTGGGAGCGAGCGAGAACTCTGACAGGAAGGACCCTCATTCATTCCTCTCCACCTTTGTGGCCCCACTATTGGCTTCCTTTAGGGTAATTATAGTCTTTCTATGACGTCTCTTAGAAGGTTAAAAACCCAAGTCCTTTTCATGGGGAAGGGAGTCTGACTCACATTCAGTGACACTATGGAAAAATAAAAGGTGCTCTCAGATTTGGGGGCAAGGGTCCCCTCAGTATAGAGATGGTGGCAGCTGTAGGGAGCCACACAAGACAAGGAGGAAGGTCCCCTGCTGATTTCAGAGGAAGGGTGTCACAGCTGCTGTCCACTAGGATACTTCTGACTCTCCTAAGACAATCACCAAAAGCCAGAGCACCCCAGGCTGTTTCCGACTTGGGGCTAAGAAAGTTACTTGATCCAGACTGGGATATCTTCTGTGAGTTATAGCCGGGCCAAAATGCTGAAAACGAGTTGTTCTGGCATTTGGGCTTTAAGAGGTAGTACAAGCCAAGAGGGAAACGGTCTGGGGCTGTGTTTCTTGCTCTGAACATCTGTATTTTATCTGGCGTCCAGATGATGAAAAGATGCAGGGAGCCAAGAGTCAGAGCCGACTCGATTCCCCAAATGATTACATGTCTCTTCAACTGGACTACGCATTTTGTGAGCAAAAACCAGACTTTGATTGTTCCCCTTTGTCAGACCACCACACCCACCCACCCCCACAGCCCTCCCCCCCCTCACCTCTGCAATCACAATGCAATGTTTTTGAAAAGAAGAATTTATTCCATTTGGGGGCCTCACACTAATAAGGGAATTGGGGAGCAGAAAAGAATGTTTCTCGTGGCTGGACAAAAGCAATAAAGTCGATGGCATAGCTGCACTTTCCATTTCTGTGATCTATGAAATAAGACATGCAGAGCATTAACGGAGAGGAGGGAGGAATGTTTGCTCACTAAGCAAGGTAAAGCCACAGTGCGCCTTCTCCTCACAAGCTGAAGCGCTGAGAGGGCTAGTAAATGGGAAATGCATTCCATTAAGTCTAGAGAGGATTGGAGCCAAGGCCTACAGCTTTCTCCTGCCTCTTCCCCTAAAAACAAGGTCAGGAGTGTAATAGGAGAGTGGAGGGTTCCAGAGAGCGAGCACCAATTAGCCACACCTTTTGGATGATGAGGAACAGATTTCAGTCATTCTAGGTCAATCTTGAGGAAGCCTGAACAAATCACAGGATGTTTACAAGAGAATGTAGCCGCCTAGGTGGTATCAAGGTCTTCAGCCTCCTTGTCTGGGCTTTTTAAGAAAACAGATTCAGATGTAGGTGGGACACTAAGATGGCTTGAGCTTCAATCCCATTCCTTCCCCTGCAATACTTCCAACAGAACACATTAGGTTCAGATCCAAAGGTGATGGCCAGCTCATGAGCATGGCTCTCTTGTGCTCCGAGAAGTCACCTTGAGACTAAATCACACCACCCTTTTTTTGCACTGTGGCTAACCAGTCTGACAGTGACAGCAGCCATCAATCTTTGTCAACTTCCAAGAGAGGGAGCTCCCCTCCCCTGAAAAGACCAAGGATGGAGCAGACACCACATACCCCAGCCTTCCAAGCCAATCCTGCAGCCAAGACCCCTGCACCCCAAGGATGGCAGCTCTACTATGTTTTCTAGCCTCCAAAAATATCCACAGAAGACCGCCCTCTGTCCCACTCACTAACTGTGAAGATGACTCAGGGCGGTGTCCCTGAAGGACAGACATACCGAACAGCCATTCTGCATGCAGTGTTGTTAAAAAGGCCTGGAGCATCAGGCCAGAGGCATGGCTTCCTCAGACCTGGGAATGCAAACTGTTGCCCTGTCACTGTGAAAGCATTTTGCTCTTCTGAAGTTTCTCCCCTCCGGTAGTCTCGGAAAGTTTCTGCAAGCACGCCTGGGAGTCCCCCAGCCCACCTATTTTCCTCATTGATTAGAACCAGGTCATAGCAGGCTCTGATTACAGATTGCAATGAAGGACTAATCTACAAAGCACAGCTTGGTGAACGAGCTTTTTATCTTTGACCACATACTAACAACTCATCGCTAGCTGCTCTTTTGATCTTAATTCCTAAGCTCTGGGAAATACTGGCATCCATGAACTTGTGGGAAGAAAGTCAGCCTCTTCATGGAGAGGTAAATGTTGGTTAACAGTAACTGCAGATGACTTTGAAAATGCCCCAGATACCTGATTCCTAAAAGGGATTTATCTATCTGGGAGGATAATCGCCTCATAGAGGAAGGATGGTGGCATCTTTAATTACTTAACCAATAGAAAAGCAGAATGCAGGATGCACAAGCCCCCATGAAATAATTAAACTCTGCCTCAGTGGCACAAAGGGACCATTTGCATTGGCTTGCCCCGATTGCTCAGCATCCAGGAACTGTGTAAGTGCGTTGTCAGGCTACTGACAGTCTAAAATGAGCTACGGCGGAAAGGTTTACACCACAGAAATTGGCAACACTACAAATCAGCCTTGTCTCACCAGCAAAGCACCACTTTGATCTCTCACAGATGACTTTAAAATGGAAATTAATTGCTCAAAAAAGCTCTCTCTAGTGGAAGCAGACTTTAAAGATCGACAGACCAGGAGACTTACGGTGTGGCTTAATCATATAGATCAGTTGCCTCCTGTGCATGAGGCCCTGGCTGGGATCCCAGCACTGCAAACTGGTGACAATAAGAATAACCACAGAGAGCCCTGCGTTCAAATCCTGGGCGGGCCGCTCACTGCAGTGTAACCCTCAGTACACTCTCTCTGCTTAGCCTTAGTACCCTCCTCTGTAAGCTTAGCGTGAACACGAGACCACATACATCTCAGACCTGAGACATCGTTTGCATCCTGCACAACGTTAAGAGTCCTGTTTCCTGACCCTTTGGCCTGATCAAAACAACAACTCACTTACAGAGCCACATTCTCTGGGTCACAAAAGAAAACAATTGATGGGAGACAGAGAGGCACTGAGGAATAGTATTGATTTCAGAAAAAAACAGTCCCCAGAACACAGGTGTTAACTGACCAACCCGGACGCTCACACCCAGACTCTTGCATCCCGTCAAGGATGTTCACGAAGCTTCATTATAACAACCACAGCAGATCTGTGGGGCAAAGCAATCTACAAATGTAATCAAAAAATGAAATGTGATTCATACAAATACGTATGCAAAACATCAAAAAGATGCCTTCAAAGGCTATGGCAAGAGGGAACATCTGAATTTGTAGTGTTGAATGGCACACGTGGGCTCAGTTTCCTACAGGAGGGTGTAAGAGATTCCAGTCCACAAGCCCTTACCTCTCAGGGTGAATCTATGTGGCAGAGAGTACACAGCAGATATTTCTGGGAGGTGGGGGCATGGGTGAAGCTTATCTTCTTTGTGGTCCTTCTATCATTAAAACAAAACACTTTATTATTTTTTTTTTAATAAAAAGAAGCTGTGCCCACTGAAAAGCCATCTTTGGTGAAGAGCCTGCTGCAGGAGCAAAGAAGGTGGAAAGTTCAAATGAAAAGAGGTAACAGGGAGACCGGGAGGAGACCTCACAGCCATCTCCACTGTGCAGAAAGCAACCCTGACAGCCAGAAAGCCAAGACGAAAGTCATGAGAGAGGAGACAGGAGGGCCATAAGAAAATCAGTGGGGAATCGGTTTGATCCAACTGCAGGTTCCTGTTGCATCTAAAGGCCATTCCCCATGCGCTGAGAACTGACTCTGCCTAGGAAAGACCATCATGAGGGCCATATGTAGCTACAGCTGGAGCTCAGCAATAGGGTACTGCCTAGCAACCATGATCCCCTGGGCTCCACCTCCAGCAAATCTCTAATAGGCGAAAGAAGCAGCACAATCCTTCCTGGCCGCTGTGGTGTCATTTGAAGTAGCAAAGACTGAAAAGCTAAATGGCTACAAGAGAGGTGAAGGGTGTTGTATCCATAGAGTAAAATGCTATAGAGCTGTGGAAAGGAACGAAGAGAACAAAATGCACTGGCAAAGCTTGCTCTTCAAAGGATGAGTTTTTGAAAAACAAGGCAAGTCAAGCATAACAGAGCATGCCTGTAACCCAAGTACACAGGAGTTTGTGTACCTGGGCTACATAGCAGGACCCTATTTAAAAAAAAAAAAAAAAAAGCCGAAACACAAATAAAATAAAAACAAAGCCCTCAACACAAAGTAATAAACAGTTAAATAGATTCAGTGTGCAGATATAGAATCATGTGACTCTTAATTATTTATTTAATAAGAAAATAAGGACCCAGGCTTTTTACAGTTGTCTCTGACTAACAGGTACTGCTTTCTTGGTCAAAGAGATTTTGCTTTCTCTTTTTCTTTTTCTTTTTCTTTTTCTTCTCTTTTCTTTTTGTTTTTTGTTTTGTTTTGTTTTCCTTTTCTCTTTTATCAGTGTTAGCGAGGTTAGAATTCCTAGAGTCCCGAAAACTGGGAACCATGATCGACGTCAAGGTTTCCTCAGGACAAGGTGCTGCTGCTGCTGCTGCTGCTTAGTGTGAATTGCTTGTTCAGAGTCCCCTCTGCTGGACAGAGTAGGACGCTGCAGAATTCTATACCAACTTTATGTGGCAAAACAGCAAAATTGCCAGAATGTGATAGATAGAATTTTGAAAAATACATATGTGTAGATATCCACTGAATTTCACAAGGATATGAAAAAAATCAAACTTATATCTTTGTGAGCAAGACATTTTAGTACAAGATGAGAAAGTCAGCCTGTGGCCAGACACCGTGTGGTTTTCAGGGTCAGGGATGATGACGGTCACTCCTTGAGCATCCCAGCATGCTGCTGCCTTCCTGCTGCCTCTTCTTATGGTCAAGTGCTGTCTCCAGGTGGAAGGACCCAGAAACAGAACTGTCATCCTGGGAGGCCTGAGGACTTTTGTGAAAACTGCTGTCACTCTATAGGGCTTCTTAGGTGTTCAAGGTGCCTCCTCCCATTTGGAAAAGGAAATAGCAGTCGGTCATCAGCTTTCATTGTGTACTGTAAAGCTGGGGCAAGCTTATTGCTCCAAAGGAGAAAAATCTTGCCGATCAGCGTGGCAGCCTGGGCAGTCACTTAGACACACGTGCATTATGTATGTGTACGCATGTTGCTGTGTGCATTCCGTGTGCATACTGCACAGGTACATTTACATCAATCATAGCTCTCTATCCATCAGTACTCACCTTAGTCTCTCTCCCAGCGAGGCTCAGCAGCTTTATAGTCAACCATAAGTGACACCATAGAAACTAAGCCAAGCCTCCCAGTGGCCACCCCAGACCCCAGTGTGTGTGTGGGGGGGGGGGTGATTAAAGAAGCCTCAGAAATGGGGTGGAAGAACACCTGAGGAAAAGGAAGGGGAGTGAGTGGAGCTCTGTTACTGAGTCACTTCACACACACACACACACACACACACACACACACACACACACACACACTGTCTTAACTCAGCCACCGTGTTAAGCACTTCACACAGAGTCTCACTGAGCGCTGCTCTGAGTAAGCTCGTCACACAAGCTGTCAGCATGAAGCAGGCCACCCGGTCTCGCTGAGCTTCACGGTTCTACAAGGGGGAAACCATTCTCTCTCAGAAAGTAGGACTCTAGGAGTTTAATTACTGTATCCATGGTTACCGCACCCATAAGCTGGGATCTGGAGGCAGGTGTGAGGAGAGAGCCATCTACACCAGACTCCCAGGAGGAGAAGAGGGTCAAGAAGGAGAGGAGGGAGGCAGAGGGGAAGAGGTCGGGGCCATTAAGATTGCCAGGGGCTAGCTCCCCTATGAGGGGTGTGCTGGGAAGTGCTCCGAGTGTACTGAGTGGGGTGGGCGAGGCTGTCCTTTATGTATGAATAACTGTCCCCGGGGCCTTCTGAGGTAGCTTCCTGGAAAAGCTTGCCTTCGGACGCTCTTGGGAGGAGAGAGCAAACACACAAATGCACGAACACATGGACACACACAGAGACAGACAGAAAGACAGACATCTACATGGTGTGAACACAAAAAAACCCCAGTTTTGTTAGCTCAAACATCCCCTGTAGTGTTCTGACTGTCCCATAGAGATACATTTTCAAACTGCCCAGTTACAAAGGAATTCTTTATAATCAGTTCCCCAGAAGAGAATAAGGAGAAAGAATGAATAAATTCTACATTGTAGCAATGGGTCATAACCACTGATCCGCTCATGTAAAGTTTTAAACAGGAGCTGCCCTGAGGGGAACTGAGTTACTGTGGGGTCTTTCCCAACACTATGACACTATGAGACAAGGCCAAGTCTGACTTGTTTCTTGCCCTTACAGAAACAACGAGGCAGGATCAACCTTGTGATTCTTCTTGTAAAACCTGCAATGGATCTGAGACTCTCTGCACTTCATGTCATACAGGTGAGCATGGGGGGGGGGGGGAGGCGGCGTAGCTGTCATCACTCCTGCATGAGCGGCGGTTTGTGCTCAGATGCACGATACTGATCTAGTCCCATCACATCCTCCCATCACTGTGGCTCCTGGGGACACACATGAGAAACCAAACGGCCACCAGTAGTCAGAATCAGCTTTCCGGGACCAAGAAATGCTTCTTATTCCAAAAGCATGATGAGGTGTTGGGTTGCCTTGGCCACAGAATTTGCTGGAATCTATGGGTGCCTCACAGTTTTAAGAGTCCCTACTTCTTTTACCTAAGACAAGTGAAGTTAAGGCAGAGGAGACGAGTACAGGTGAGTGCATTGCATTGCCTGTGGTCTCCTTCTTTGATCTGCACTTCGCACTGGGAGCGGGGAGGAAGGGTAGCAACAGACTAGCTTGTTTCCTTAAAAAAACACACCTTATTTATAGAAACACCAGGCATAAATAATTTCCCCAAGATAGATTGCCTATATAGTTAGTACATTAGCATAGTGTTGTGCTCGCACAAGAATTACCGTTAGGGGCTGGAGAGATGGCCCAGTGCAGTGGACAAAGCACACGCTGCTCTTGCAGAAAACATGAGCTCAGTTCCCAGCATCCACACTGGGTGTCTCACAGCTACCTGGAACTCCAGCTCCTGGGGGTCTGATACCTGTGGCCTTCCCGGGGAACCTGCGCTCAAATGCTCATCCACACAGACACACGTGTTAAACATAATTAAACGTTAAATAAAAAGACATCTTTAAAAATTATCATTAGAGCTGGTGGTGGTGGCTCACACCTGTAATCCCAGCACTCAGGGAGGCAGAGGCAAGCAAATCTCCGTGAGTTCGAGGCCAGCCTGGTCTACAAAGCGAGTCCAGTACAGCCAGGGCTATACAGAGAAACCCTGTCTCAAAAAAAAAAAAAAAATTATCAGCAAAGCCATGTGGAAATGCACAATGTCACTGACACAATCGGCCCCTTAATTCTCCAGAACTGTATTCCAGTGCTTTCTATGAATATCTGAAACAACAGAACCAAGAATTGCATGTACTGTTTTTCCTATACATACACTCCTATGATAGACTTGGGTTGACAAATCAGACACAAATAAGAGAATAAACAGCTAATAATAACATGGAAAAGTATAGCAATTCTCGGTACTGAAAGATTTTTATAACTCCAGAACCTTCACTTCTGCAGCTTGTATGTGAAGCTGAGAGGGCAGCCTGCAAGGGTTGTTTCTCTCCTTCCTCGTGTGCTTCCCAGGGCTTAAGCTCAGTTAATCAGGTGTGACAGCACCCTTATGTGCTGAACCGTCTCACCAGCCCAAATTTGTCTGTTTGTTTGTTTAGGTTAACAATACCCACCTTTCCGATTAAGCACACATAGAAGCGGAACATTGTGTTCCAAGGGAAGATGTCTAGAAAAGTTGCTCCCAGGTCAGCCTCATCCATCTCGGATGGGCTGGGGAGAAAGCAGGAAAGAGGACCCCATGGAGTGCCGGGCATGTGACTGCATTAGATGGCAGGACTGGTCAGCAGGGCAAAGGGAAGCCCCATGGCGATCAGCCTCTAATGTGTAAACGAAACAGGCCAAAGCCCCCTATGGCCAATCTCCTTCCCAAACATTTAGTTAATTAAAGGACAAAAGTATATCACGTCTGAAATATTGCAAATACCTGGACTTTGGAAAAGATTTTTTTAATTGAAACCTCTGCATAATGTGTGTGACCAACCATGACAGCCATTCTCTGCCCTCATGCCCGGATTTCTAGGTACATACCTCTTCGGGCAGGCCTGTGTTCACTCCTGTCCCCAGCACACATGGCCCTCGGTCAGGAGCGGCCGCTGTGAAAACTGTGCCGAGGGCTGTGCCTCTTGCTCTGGAGCTGACCTTTGCCAAAAGTGCCTGAGTTCACCGGACAACGCCCTGGTTCTCCACGATGGCAGGTGCTACCACAGCTGCCCAGAGTAAGTCACCTCCTCCCGTTGACTCATGCCCCGCAGCTCCTCAGAGCAGCTCTTCAAGGATCTCTCTCACAGTCTCAGTACCCACTTCCTCGATACCATTGACCGTGGCATCACGGTGGGCCTCAGCAACCAAACCTTCCACGAGGCCAGATGCCCGCTTCTCGCTGTGACTTGTCAGGGTGTGTGCTCTGATTTCTGTGACAATAGTGTGACCTGCGTTGCACAGCAGTGGAGGTGTGTTCTTAGAAGGACATTGTTAGGACATTTCGTCATTGGGTGGGTGACACACTGTTCTTACGAAAACTCAGATAACGTAGCCTCTGACACAGAGTCTACGTGGTATGGGCTGTCACACGTGAGGCCCCTCGTTGACCAAAGCCTGTCTGCCTGGTACCTGGCAATTCTTTTCCCACCTTGTACCAGTAATTGAATGTTCTCGGTTCTCATCTGCATCATGACTGCAGAGTCGAGATATGAGTCTCATCCAAATTCTCAAGGAGGTGAGTTATTACTTATAAACAGTAATAGTGGCTACTTATTTATTGATTGCTATGGTTTTCTCAGCCCTCTAATTAAAAAACCGTTTAGTCTCCTCCCAACAGGATTCGCCTATGAGGACAGAGAACAGAAGACCAGAAGTATCAAATGTAGCAAAAATGACAATTCTCCCACATGACAATGTTAGGAAGCCCCCGCATTTGTAGGTTTGGTGGAACCGCGGTCACCAAACGCCCCATCTTCCCATTTTGTTCTTGTTCCTTCCTTGGCTGACTGGCACTGTAGGGCCTCAGTTACTATAGTCTGCCTTAGCTGCAATTATCACTCCACTCAGTGACAAGCTCCTTAAGGGATGAGTGCTCCCCCTCTGTCCTTCCCTCCCTCCCTCCCTCCTTTCCTCAGATTCTCTTCCTATGCCATCACCTCAGTGTAACGCTTTCTAACTATCTCTAATAGTAAGGATAAAGACCTGTCATCTGCCCTTATCTTTGGGGCATCCCAAGGCCTCTGGGTAATGCCTAAGGCTGCGTAGTACCAAACCCTATGTGTAACTGTTCTGCTTTTTCATACCCACGATAAAGTTCAACTTATGAATTAATCATAGTGCATGATTTGAAAAATAGAGCTATTATAGCAGCGTGATGTAACAATGTATATAGATGTGGTCTCTTCTCAAGATATCTTATTATACTGTATTCACTCTTTATTTCCTGACACTCTTCCTGGGGAGACACAAAGAAAGGTCTACTCACCCCAGATAGGAAACCAATGACAGACCAAAATATGACGCTATAGATGTCCAACTTGGTGAACAATAAGCTTATTGAAGTTATTTACAGTAGTATGGATGAGAGGTTACTTAGAGGCACATGAACAACTCAAAAGAAAAAAAAAAGGCTGAATTATCAAAATCCTACCCCAGGATGAGATCATCACTCATGAAACCTGGAACCCTGAAGCTCTCTGTAAAAAGGGAGATTGGCAGCTAGGCAGGTTGGAGAGTCTTCTTTTCTTGGCAGGCCTTACTGCTTATTATACAGCTATGAAGAAGGAGGGACCTTATAGAGCTAGTCAATTTCAGGGACTTCCTGAGACTTCTGAGTTGTTTATTTCCTGAATTTTAATGATTCTCTTTTTAAACCTCTTGAATCAAGGAACTTCCCTGGGGGGATAGAACATTTCATTTTGGAGTAAATTGCTCCTTGAGGGTAATGCTTAGCCTTGACCTGATATATAAAGGTTATTTGAGCATGAGCACTGGGAAAGCCAACAACAACATATCTGTAGCAGAAACAACTGTTGATGGGCAAGCGCGTGTCACAACAAAGTGGATATGTTGCATGGAGAGGAGCCTGGCAGAATCCTTACAGTATAGCAGGTCAAGTTCCTGCCAGCTCAATGGGAAGAAGAGCAAAGTGCTAAAACAGCCCTGAGGGAGGGTGGGGGTGGATGAAGAAATCACTTAGAAATAGCTATAGTCTTTGAATACCTCAAAGCCTATACCCAGAGACACACCTCCTCCAACAAAGCCACACCTCCTAATCTTTTCCAGTCTACCATCTGATGACTAAGCATTCAAATATATGAACCCACAGAGAATGGGGCCGTTCTCATTCAATCACCAGAGTAGATGTTCATTAAAGAAAAGTGTGTATAGTGGCCTATGTGCACAGTGTTGTGATTATTTAGTAGGCACCAAAATAGCACACAGGAGGCTGAGACATAAGGATTGTGAATTCGGGGTTCAGCCAAAGCTACATAACAAGGGCCTGTCTCTGGAGAAGGAAAAAATAAAAAATAAAAGGCAACAACAAAAGCTGTGATAAGCCGGACATTAGTGGTGCACACCTTTAATTCCAACACTCAGGGAGGTAGGGGCAGGTGGAACTCTGTGAGTTTGAGACCAGCCTGGTCTACAGAGTGAGTTCCAGGACAGCCAGAGCTGTGATATTTGAGAGATCTTATCTCTAACAATAATAATACTAATAATAAATAGCAAATGTTTTTTAAAAGCTCGTAGGTAAAGTGCTTTCTGTACAAACAGGAGGACCTGAGCTTGAGCTTCAGAGCCCCACATAGCTGACAGGTACTATGACACACACCTATAATCTTGGTACTGAGGGAGCAGAGACAGGAGGATTCCAGCCAGCCAGTCTAGCATAAGTGGAAAACCCCACATTCAGAAAAAGGGATTCTGTCTCAAAAATACAGTGAGAGTAATAGTGTCAGTTATTGGCTTCTACACATTCATGCACAAGTATGCACACATGGGCACATACACATACACTATACCACACACACAAGTAAAATATAAAAAGGACGAACATGGGCCCAGCCCCCTTAAATGGTAGCTATTTCCAGCAACAGAGCTGGTTTGAAATCTTTATTAATGTGTGTTAATATATTTTTAACATTAGTTTTTCTTTTCTTTATTTATATGTACATCTTGTGTTTGTGTGAGGGAGTCAGGTCCACTAGGATTTGAGTTACAGATCACACAGTTGTGAGCTGCCATGTGGGAGCTGGGAATTAAACCAGCATCATCTGAAAGACCAGCCAGTGCTCTTAACCACTGAGCCATCTCTCTAGCCCCAGGATATTTTCTATTGTAAAGATTTGACAGAAAGAAAAGACAATGACAATTTATGGATAAATCAGGAAATAACAAAGTTTTAGACAAAATAAATTCCTTCAAATAAACCAGGTCCTCAAAGAAGGTGTTCACTGTACTTTCACTGTACATTTCTAGACATTCTTTCACAACCTCCCTTCAGTGAGTCTTGGGGGTTTATTTTGATTGACGAGAGCAGCAGCTTTTCCTTTTGGTTAGAATCCCTTTGTTAGCAGCCGAGAGCCATATCTAATTGATCTAATTGCAGTCCCCCTTCTTTCCCTAGGGGCTTCTATGCAAAAGATGGTGTTTGCGAACACTGTAGCTCCCCTTGCAAAACATGTGAAGGAAATGCCACCAGCTGCCTCTCTTGTGAAGGAGACTTCGTCCTAGACCATGGGATGTGCTTGCAAACTTGCCCTGAAAAACACGTGGCCATGGAAGGAGTCTGCAAGCACTGTCCAGAGATGTGCCAGGACTGCATCCATGAAAAAACTTGCAAAGGTACCTGGAAGCATCCTGATGGAAAAAAAAAAAAAAAAATATATATATATATATATATATATTTATTTATTTATTTATTTATTCTCCCTCTTGCACAAAGAAACACATGAACAAAGTGAAAGGAACCTGCCAAGGATAGTTCTTTTCACAAAAAGGGTGTGCTATGACCAAAACTGGTCTAGCAACCAAATCTGATAGGTTTTTATCCTAATGTAGGAGTACTCTATCTTTTCCCCATTGCCTGGGGTCCAATCCCACACTCTTTCACAGCTGGATAACTTTGAAAGAAAATGAAAGGGGGGGCAAGTGGTTGGCCTCTTTGGATCATCAAGTTTGGGGAATGTGGGAAGACGCAGGTGGCAGCTCTTCATAAGCAAAAGCTTTACTTGGTGAAGAAGATAAGAGGATTTGAATCCCTTTGCGTAAAAGTTTTACAGAGTGAGGGAGACTTGTGGCATATTGATCCTTGATGGAGTAGTCATCTTTGATAGAAAACCAACAAACAAACAAACCAAAAACATTTTCACAGTCCCAAGGGGACCCTGGCTCTGAAGAGCCACTGGCTGGGTCACTATCTGTTAACAACAACAACAACAAAAATTAATCTTCACCTTCAGTGCAATCCATCATCTGCCAGCCTATCATTGAGGAAGTTGAGGATGAGATGTACTCTTTCCCTTGTAAACTCTGTAAGCTAAAACAAGAGTTCTTGTAGATATGCTCAACTCTCACCTCAAAGGGAATTAGAGACATTTATTCTGGAGACAAATATGAATGACCACGGCTTAGGTACACAGATTCAGATTAACCTATATGCCATGGTCCAATGAGACAGGTTCATGCTGTTTTCCTAGTTAGAGTAAAAGGAAGTCATAAATCAAGAAACTTTCAAAAGCATTGGTGGCAACTAAGGGTAGAGGGTGATAGTCAAGTGAGGAAATCTCTGCTCTAGGCCTCACATACCACCAGATGACAATCATAGCTTTTAGGTTGGTAGAAGTTAATGATCTGTTTAGTTTATACATTCCAAAAGATTTACCTGACAGTCACCGGATATTGGATCCAACACAGAGGTAGGTGATGATGGGCTGTTATGGAGCTAAAGAAAGCCCAGGATAATTAGATTCCGGATCTACAACATTCCAACACTCCATAATAGGGAAGTGTAATCAGCTGATCGGTCTTGTAGAATCCTCAGCACAGCTGTTGCTTTCTTCTGAAAATTTCAGTTCATACATAGCATTATTCAGGATCCTTGAGTTACAGATAAGACACTCACAACCCCCACTCTGGGTTCAAGTTCTTATAAAAGGATTGATCCAGGAGTGATTAAATCACAGGAGTGATTAAAGACACAGTCTTAAGAGATGAGAGAAAATATAGATGGCGCGGTGAGTAAAGGCACCTACCACCTTTGATCTCACATGGTGGAAAGAGAGAACCAACTCCTGAAAATTGTCCCATGACCTCCACACTTGCTCCATAGCAGGCACATCCCACACATATTCACGTAGATACATACATGTAGTTTAAGAAAATAAAGTTTAGGCAACTTTAAATGGGAATAATGCTATGGTTTGAACAGATCATTTTCTTTGGAACAAGCTCCCAAGAAAAGGAGACTCAGTGTTATGCAAAGGAGTCACTTAGTATGATCTGAAGGTGTTCCAAACCCATCCCCCAAAAAAGAAGGAAGACAAAGTAACTAGCAATGCATTCTTCATGCTGATTGAACATCCACTCACAGATTTATTCTGTCAAAGAACAAAAAACTAACAAGTCAAACAATTCCCAAGCTTCCTGATATATGGAATCAAGTTTGGGGCACTTGACGCAGTTTCAAAAATTTGTAAATACTTTTCAATTTTTTTTTATGGCAAGCCTCTGTTTATTCCTAATTCCAAGTGAAACTTTACATTTTACTATTAGATGTATAATTAAAATGTTTGTTGAACAAGTTCTATAAATATATTCTATCAATTTCTTTTTCTTTTAGAATTTCATACATTAAATGGTGTAGACTTGCATTTCTATGCCTCCCTTGTACCCCTCCAACTCCTCCAGTCCTCTCCTACTCACTCTCAAGTTCATGACTTTTTCTTCTAGAATTATTATAGATTATACATGCTATATATAATAATACTATATGTACAATACATAGTCTATTATATATCACCATTGTACATCTCTACAATACCTGCTGCAAAAAGAAACTTCTTTGAGAAGTGTAGTGAGATCAACACTTATCTATGGGTATAACCTTTAGAATGTAGTTAGATAGATAGGCAAGAGGGCACATGCTTTTAATCCCAGTACTTGGGAGACAAAGGCAGACGCATCTCTGTGAGTTCAAATCCAGCCTGGTCTACATAGTGAGTTTCAGGACAGCCAGAGCTACATACTGAGATCTTGTCTCAAACAAACAAACAAACAAACAAACAAAAAGAATGTAGATAGAAATGATGGTTTAAGACAATGTCAGTAATAGACTCTAGGGTCTATGACCTCTCTCTCCAGTCACAGGCAGTTGGCTAGGTTTGCAGTACCAAGCATGAATTCCCCCTATTAGGCAAGCCTTAAGTCCATTAGACAGCTATTGCTTACCCCAAAGATAATAATGTCACTAGTGCACATTGGGGATATCTTGCTGAGATAGTCATTGTTGTGGTTCATTTGAGTAGGACTATTGGTTGTTTTTCTTCCTTGGCAGCTTGCATAGGCTCTTTTGATACTATGAGAGCTAGTCCTAATGAAGGAGGCTTCCAGATCAGTTCTAGATCATATCTTCCATGTCATTTGTGTAACATGTATGGTGTCTTCAGCAACAGGGTCTAACCTTCAAGTTCTGTGAGGCAACAATAGCCTATGCCAAAGTGGGGAGTGTAGGTGTTAGTTTTTTTTAACTCTATTTTACTTGGGGCTCCTTAAGCCTCTACCTCCCTTTCAACAACCCCCCCCCCCGCTAGGTAAGAGAAAAAGAAGGTTAGACGTGAAAGGGGATATAGACCCCTTTAGACTTAGTTCCAGCTGGTTAGGGTCATCGGGTTCCTTGGGAAAATACCAGTTTCAGTTGTCAGGAAATCTAGCAGTCCAGCAAACTTAAAACAGTAGCGGTGGAACAAACAAGCAGCCTTCTTCCTCTTCTGTCCGTCTCCTTTAAGCCCTCTCTCTGGGCTCTCATATTTATATCCTTTCAGGGTCCTCAGAATTCCACCATCTGCAACTGGCAAAAACCACACCCCTCTCAGAATTGCACAAGGCTGGCAAAGACCATGCCCTGCATGAGGCAATTATCAGCCATGGATAAACTAGGGCAGTCCCATATCCCACACTTAGGATTAAAATAAAAACATATCTACATAACAAAGCTGAGTTTTTAAAGAGACCAAAACTTCCACTATAGGGGAGTCTCCTAGACAACCCTGACCAACAACTTGAAAAAAGGTTTCCCTTACCTAGTATTCTTGTTAGCCTACAACTGTTGAGGGAATGTTATCCTTCAGTTATCCTTTATTGCTTTCAAACTACACATACATACACACACACACACACACACACACACACACAAATACACACATTGTGTTGTCCTTGAGTACAGCACTTGTTGTCAGTTGTTTTCTTGATATCAGATAAAAATCTCAAAGTAATCTTAATTTGTAGCTCCAGGATAGCTAAGGATGCTGAATATTTTTAAAGTATTTTTTAGCCATCTTTGGTTTTCCTTTTGAGAATTCTCAAAAGAATCTATTTTTATTCTCTGTTCAGATCTATTCTGAGTTAGCCTATTTTTTTAATAGGTCACTTTTTTTCTGGATTTTTTTGAGCCCTTGGTACATTCTGGATATTAATCCTTTGTCAATTGTACAGCTCTCAAAGATTTTCCCCTATTCTGTGGAAAATAGGAGGAAATATTACTTAACTTATGGCTTCCTTTGGTATAGAGAACCATTTTAGTTTATGAAGGCCCCTTGTCAGTTGTTGGCCTTAATTTCTGGACAATGAAGTCCCATTCAGAAAATCCTTTCCTGAACCTGTATCTTGTAGGGAAGTGTCAGTTTTCTTCCAGCAGTTCCATTGTTTCCAATTTCACATTGAGGTCTTTGGTCCATGTGAAACTGATTTGTGTGTAAAGTGATGGGAATGGGTCTAGTTTCATCCTTCTACATGTGAACCTTCAGTTTCTTCAGATCTTTGAGCAATGCCTCCAATATCTCCATTGTCACTATTTTCCACAACACTGAAACTTTTTGTACCTTCAGCACACAAATCCAAGATTATTCAATCAGACCGCCATAGGTGGCCTCCCCTCCCAAGGTAGAAATTGTTAGATATTGGGATATGCCGTGGGTGGATGAGGAGAAGAAAATGTCAGCCTAGGTCAAAAGGTTCAGAGATCTAAGAAATAGGCTAGCCCACCACAAGAGTGATGAATTCTTCTGACCAATCCCTGGAGATAACCTGCTACTCCTATCTTTCCTCAGAATGCATGCCTGGATTCTTCCTATATAATGACATGTGCCATCAGTCCTGTCCCAAACACTTCTATCCTGACTTACGCCAGTGTGTCCCCTGCCATGAAAACTGTCTGGAGTGCAGTGGTCCCAAGGAGGATGACTGTGCTGTCTGTGCTGACACTTCCAAAGTTCTCTACAAGGGGTTGTGTTTGGATGTGTGCCCTGAGGGAACCTACGAAGAAGAAGAGAATGATGAATGCAAAGGTAAGGACTTCTGGGCTGTATGACTGAGCAAAGAATGCTGGGAAGCCTGTCAATACAAAGTATTCTCTAGGACTGTCATAGTACACAGCCAAAGCTCTTAGGACACTTGTAACCTTCCTGCTCAAGGAAGCAAATTTTGAATGTGAGTTCATTTTTAAAATACATCATTCATAAGCTTTGAGCATGTGCATCTGGCTAGTTGCATATCACATGGCCCTATTAATGGCACATGCCCATCAAAAAGGATTCTTCATAAAGTTTTCCAAGAGAAGGTGAGCTTTTTAAAGCCTGTCCTTGAGAGTTTAAGCCACCAATGAGTTCATACACTTAGTAAAAGATCCCATGGAGTACTTCCTTCCTTCCTGTCATCTGCCTTCCTCCTCTCATCTCCTCATAACTATTCTCCTTTTCAGTTCTTCCTATCCCAAGTCCCCATTCATCTTCCATTTGGCACTTCCATCACTACACATCCCAGAACGGGACTACTGGAACTAGGAGGCAGCACAGTAGTAAAGCCCTTGCCTAGCCTGACCCAGGTCCTGCCTTCTACCATTAGTGCTTAATGAAGCAATAAATCAAGAAAGGAGAAAGGGTCTGTGGTTCCTTGGGCCCCCTTATTTTCAACTGGACATTAATCTTTCTTAGTCTCTTTTTAGTTACAGGAAACAGAAAAATACATTGTCCATTATGAGAGGACTTGTTGAATAAGATAGAAAAGCATCCTAGAAAACATGCTTTTCTAAAAGTCCTGGTCTGTCTTACCACCTTCCCTGAGCCCCTGGGGCTGAACTGGCAAAACCATTTGTCAAAGGTCTACACTCCCATCCTGGCCTGTCTCTACCAACCTCAAATGGAATCTTACTATGCTGCATATGCTGGCTTTAAACTAGCCCTCCTCTTGCTTTAGTCTTCCAAGTGCTGCGGTTATAAATGTGTGCCACCATACCTGGCTGATTTTATCCTCTTCTATCTGAGTGACTCGGCATCTTTGGTCCTAATTCCCTGATGCATAGACAATGAGATCATAATAGTAACAATAAAGCTTATCCATCCAGGGAGACTGAGGGAGACTTCGGTGTACTGCATGCTACTCCAGGCCTAGAGACCAAAGCACACAGAGCCCCTACCCTTACAGGGTTCATGTTCTATTTGGAAACAAAGATGCTAGAACAGTAAGTCAAGAAAAAAAGTGAGCCAGCAAAGGAAGAGTGGGAAAGGGGGCAAGGAAGAATTGAAATTAGGGAGATGTTCTGCAAGATGCCACCAAGAAAGGGAGGAAGCAATAAATGTGGGAGACAATCATCACATGTCTGCAAGGAAAGGAGTCTAAGAAGAGGAAGTGACAATTGCTGGAACATCGAAGACTGAACTGTTCTCGTAGACTGTATAACACATCAGCCAAGCAAACACCTGTTGTATGCAGGTCCTCTCACATGGGCATTGAGCATTTGTAATGAACACCAAAGAGGTCTTTTGCTATCGGGAAATTATGATACATTCCAATAATTGCTTTACTAGTGATTAGCTAGAAGTATTCTGGGAGATAACAGAAAGACTATGGCAACGGGGACTTTGATGGTCACATACGAAGTGCATCCTTGCTCATAGTGTTGGTTGACCCTTGGCATAAAGCCCTGGAAGTCTCCAGGAGAAAGAAATTCATTTCTTAGAAGGGTGTTCCAGCCTTGCACATCTCTTACCCCCTGCCTGCCTGCCTGCCATGCCTGCAGATTGTCCTGAGTTCTGCCAGACCTGCTCATCAGCTTGGACCTGCCTGTCCTGTCAGGAAGGCCTGACAATGGTGCATGATGTCTGCACAGCACCCAAGGAGTGTGCAGCCATTGAGTACTGGGACAAGGGCTCTCACAGGTGCCAGCCATGTCACAGGAAATGCTCCCGCTGCTCAGGGCCTGCTGAGGACCAGTGCTATAGCTGCCCTGGAGAGACTCTTCTTCTCAGTAAGTTATAACACTTATGCCCAAGGCCAGCTCTTTTGTCTCTCCCTCTATGACCCTCCTGAGAATGATGCCTGATGCCCAGTGTGTGTTAACATCCTTCCTTCCTTCCTTCCTTCCTTCCTTCCTTCCTTCCTTCCTTCCTTCCCTCCTTCCTTCCTTTCTTTCTTCCTTCTTTCCTTCCTTCTTTTCTCTCTCTCTTTCTCTATTTCTTTGTTTTACAAATCTTTAAGAATTTTCAAACCTATAGAGAATAGACAAGATGGAAAGTAGAAGGAACATCACACAGTGCTCTCTGCCCACTTCACCACTACGAATCTTCATCATCATCCTCTGTACAAGTATTTGCTAACCCACAATCTACTTTTTTCTAAAAAATTGAGGGGTAAGTTAGACACATTACAGTCCCTTTCCCATGAACATTTTGCTCTGTTTCCTCACATAGGGATACCTTCTTACACAGGATATTGTCAACTCTGATAACTTTGTATTGATGCGATTCTTTAATACACTATCACTGGAGCTAGACAGATGGGCCAGTGGTTTAGAGCATTAGTCCTTGCAGAAGAATCAGGTTTGAGCCTCAGCACCCAGAGTGGCTCACAGCACTCTGTGAGGGATCTCATGCCTTCTTATGACCTCTGGGGTTTCAGGAACACATGTGGTACACATACAGACGTGCAGACAAAACATTAATACACATAAAATCAATGACTCTGATTTTTTTTTCTGTTCATATTAAATCGTCTCAGCTCCTCTTTAGGACAGGGTTCAGTGTAAGGTCTATATGCATCTACCTGTCATATCTTGTAGCTTCCTTCTGCCTGGAACACAGCTTGTTTCTGTATTGTGTGCTGTGCACAGTTTGGAAAAATTCAGTCCCCACTCTTCCTTTTGAGTTGGCAAGTGGTTCCCTCATGTCTAGATAGCAGGTGTGCCTTCTTAGCTGAAAGAGGTAGGTTGTATCCTCTGAGATCTGTGCTGGAGTAGAGCAATATCCACGTGCCTCTCAGCAGTCGTATCCATGTAGCTCCCCTCCTTAAGAAGATTCAGTTTCTCCACTGACTCCCCAGTAATAAGTAGTCTGCAGACAGGCTCCTTTAACATGTAGCTTTTCTGCTGGTCATCATAGTTGCCTCTTAGTTCAGTATCTGTTGATTAACTAATCATCCTGACTAGGTGGGATGGCACATGACTATAACCCTGCTGCTGGAGAGGCTGAGACAAGAGTATCTCAAAGTCAAGGCCAGTCTGGGCTACGTATAGCAAGACCCTGTCTCCAAAAAAGTGAATAAGCAGGATATAGTTGCAAATGCATTTAATCCCAGAAGATGGAAGGAATATCAGCAGTTTTAAGACTAGCCTTAGCTTTATAGGAAGTTTGAAGCCAGCCTACATGAAACCCTGTCTCAAAAATAATCAATCAATCAATCAATTAAAAAGAGACGAATAAAGGGAAACCCAGAAAGCTTCAGTGTTGTTTTCGCAATCAGCAGCAGAGACCTCAAAGGGCAACCTTCACAGTCATAATAGGTGGCCCCTTTCCTCTCTTGGTGAGATGTCATCAGCAAAGACATCGGTGCCCTGCTGCATACAGGGTCACCCATCCTCAGCACCATTCCGGCCTCTCACAATAGGTGACACTTGGAAACACCAGCCCATTGGAGGTTGGTGAACTTCCTTTCCCAAAGTTATTCCTCATAAAAATAGCCGTTCTGGCCAGGTCTCTCACGTGATCTCACCTGTTCACCCATAGTGCATACTTTTCTGGTTATGACCAGTCTAGAGCCAGGTCAGATCCCTGCTTACGGAGAGGAAGACGTCTCATTAGTGAAGGTCTTTCCTTCAGCTGGGAACATGAATGAATTTATAGTTAAGCCTTGATGCAGAGACTGCACCCAAAGGCTGGGTTCCTTCCTGCCCTGCACCACCAGAAAGAGGCTATTTATAAACTATAGAGTTAGAAGACGAATTTGTAGTAGACTAATTATGCTCTCTCTCTCCCTGATGGCACACCTTACTCTCTCAGTGCAAGTATTCATTTTGTATGGTAAAGGGGGCCTTGTAGTTGTGCTTAATGAGTGATTTTGGCATAGGAAGATTGTCCTGGCTTAGACAGATGAGACCAACATAATCACAGGGTCCGATAAGAGCAGAATTGGTAGTAGATGTATGTTGACTGAATCAGAGCAACACAGGGGATGCTCCCCCGCTGAAAGAGAAGGGATTCTGGGGCTCGTGAACACAAATGCCCTCTAAAGGTGGACTAGATAGACAGGGAAGGAACAGATTCCTCACCCCCCACCCCATGGTGTCTAAGAGGAATGCAGCTCTGTATACCCATTTCAGATTTCTGGCTTCTATCTCAGTGAGATGACCAGTTCTTGTTTTAAAGCCACAAAGTTGGTGGTCAGGGTTATAGCAATGACAGGAAACTGGAGTAGAGGTACCCAGCAACCCTCAGCTGCCATAGCCACTTGTCAGCCTGTACATTCCATTCTACCTACTACGGCCCGTCCACCCTGACTTCTGTTTTCACTGACCTCAACCATCCTGTGGAACCTCATCTTGCTCTTCATGCAATGCTTCCCTAACCAAATAGAGAAGGTGTGGGAGCCACAGGTCAGACTCGAGGTCAAGACAGACTCTTTTCCTCCTTCAACAGACACGACTTGTGTGAGAGCCTGCCCAGAAAGCTACCACGCTGACAAGGACGGCCACCAATGTGTGCCCTGCCACAGCTCTTGCCGGACCTGCGAAGGCCCACACAGCATGCAGTGCAGCTCCTGCCGACCTGGCTGGTTTCAGCTGGGCAAAGAGTGCTTGCTGCAGTGCAGGGATGGGTAAGGAGCTCAGCACATTCTCGTTCTGGAGTGGCTGCCGGTGGCAAGCTGGTGGCCGATGAGGAAAGTGGGGCTCAGAACAGGGAGGGCCACAGGGAAACCTCCATGCCAGGAGGGAGCAAATATGAACCAGGCCACAGTTAAGGGAGAGAAAAAGGAGAAACTGGGGTATGCCAGTGAGGGAACACGCTAAGAAAGACGGTCCCGTCAGACTGACTGATCATCCTCGGGGCCAGCCCCACTGACAGTCACACACTCCGTATGTGTGACTGCAAAGCAGAGGAGTCCTCCTCCCCTCAGAAAGACCCACATGCATTAGTAAGAAGGGCTGCATTTTGTTTGTTTGGTTTGTTCTGTTTCCAGTTTTAGATGGTGGTGTGGATTCAGGGTTGATATGCAAAACCTAAGCAGTACAGGTGGGAAGAAAACAGTTTCAGTTACTGTCTCCACTTATACCCTGTGGACTCTGCCAGACCTCCCCAAGTGCCCAAATGTGGAATTTACAGCTTTGGTTCTAAAGCAACCTTGATGCTGACATGAAATGCTAATATGAAAGCATTTCGTGACTAAAGACTCCATGATTTTTCTGCTAAGAACACCTGCTGGTGTGTCTATCGGATCTGGTTATAAACAGGATGGGAAGAAGGCGTGACTGGGCCATGCCCTCCCCAGCATTCCACACTCCAGCCCACTCTTTCCCAATTAGTAACCCAGGGCCTGAGAGGATCCAGGCACAAACTGAAGGACCATTCCTGGATGTTTTCACCCCAATTGGTACCTTTCCCCAAGTGATGTCTGCCTGGTTCTTTTATTTCAGCACCGTGTGCGGGTTCATGTTTCTGCATAGCTCATTCACTCACTCACTCATGTAATCCACACAGGACAGTGTAAAAGCACCTTGTATGTCTGGGTAAGCTGAGTTAATGCACAGACTTTGTACTTCAAAGGCTTAACCTTGTTCTAGTATCTTCTCATGAAAGAAACATTTCAAGCTCCTGGAAGGAAACCATCTCTTATGTTTCATGTGTACTACCACACACACAGCACAGAGTCAACTCTTCAGCGAGTTTTGGCAAGTGCAAGCCATATGCATTAACTGCGGCATGATCCTGCCTAAGGGTAGAGGCGTGGCTACAAGGGAAGTGTCCAAAAAGATCCGGATCCCACAGGGTGAATCGCCATCGTTCTCCGATCTGGTCACAATCTGCTCTGCAGCACACGCCAAAAGTGTGCAGCTCTGTAGCTAAATGAAAAGCCGAGCATGGCGTTAAGAAGATGATGCTCCACATTGTGCAAAGTGACCAAGAGGTGTGGGGGTGGGGAGCACCAGCTGCTACCATTCTCTTTACTGGAGAAGAACTAGAGTATCAGTGAAGCGTTAGCGGGGGGGATGGTTTCTTTGGTAAAAATCCATGTTCCACATACTTAAGCATGTTGGTTAAATGTCTGTTTCTTGAGTGGACACTTGTATAATTCTCTGCACCTTTTCCCGATATGTAGTTATTTTAGCATTAACCTCACGGAATGTTCTTTAAGGCTCAAGTCTCCAGGCTTTCTCACAGGGTCCTCTTCAAGGCTGTGGGGCTCACAGAATTTCACTCTTATATGAAAACAAATAGTCCTCATAGTAAGTGGACATGTGGAACCCAGCAAGCTCCCTCTTGTCTTTATTTCAGCAGCATGCTTTGACAGTTTTTTAAGACCTACTTTGAATGGATGTTTTCCATTTGTGGTTTCTACTGGGCTTGTATCTTCAATACAGTTTGCAAAACGTTTCAAGTGATGTGTCTTTATACGATCCTACAATAATCTCATGAGGTGGACATTAGTCCCTCCATTTTACAGAAAAGGAAAACGAGGTGAGAGAGTTTAACTGATGAAGTCACATAGTTATATAGCTGCTGATATATTATGGATTCAGGACTACAGTCCTGTTTTCTAAGCCCACTCCTGTGGTTTCCTTCCTGTGTGTTTTTGCTTTTCCCTATTGTTTTACTTTTTTAAATTTGATTTCTCTTGTATTGCCTCTTGAATACCTTGGTCATGCTAAGGACTAATTGAAGTAATGCAAGTACAGAAAGCAAAGTGAGGTTTACTGTGCCACAGCTGGGTCACTGGGGTACAACGTGACTCTTTCGGATTGCCAACAGAGACGGGCTCAGCACTACCTAAGTGTGGTGTTTATTTTCCCATGTTCACTGAGCTGATTTGACACAAACAGGGCTTTGCAGGTAGAGTTTTTGTACCAAAACCCTAAAACGTTGAGGTTACTGTGGTAATTCCTAAGACCTACTGATGCCCTGAAATGCAGGTATAAACCATACCACCTCTGCCCACTTCCTAAATACCTAGATATGATTTGGAAGATGCCAATGCACTGTTGTGCTGAGGCAAGATAATTGCTATGAACTTGAGGCCAGCAAGGGCTACAATGAGAGTTCAAGTCCAATCTGACTATGCATGGGAGATTCAGTCTCCAAATTGATGAAGAGGAGAAGGAGGAAGAGAAGGAGGAAATGAAAAGAAAGGAAAGGAAAAGAAAAAGAAAAGAGGAAAGGAAAAAGGAAAAGAAAGGAAAGAAGGCAATCTCTTCCATCCAGGGTGTGATTCAACAAAAGGTAAAGTTAAATCAAAAGAAGACGAGGCAGCAGCGGCGATGGTGTGGCAGCGGCCGTGGTGGTAGAGAGCGGGGGAGCCACCACTGTGTGATTACCAGCCTTATCTTAGGTGCTTCCAGCTTCATGGTCACAAACGGCCGGGGTGGGAAGCAGGCGAAAACACTCCGAGTACAGGTAAGACAATCCACGCTTACTGGATCCATCAGCATCTTGGCAATGATTCCATGAGTAAGGTCAAGTGAAGAGACTGAAGAGACCAGGCCAGTGTGTGAACCCTGACTGACACAGCCTTTGGTTCAAGCAGAGCTCCTCAGCCCTCCACATCCTCAGCTTCCGTACCAGATCAAGGAATGGAAATATATTTTTTAAATGTTGCTGAACACATGATTTTTTTTTCTTGTCATTATTTCTGAGCCAATAGAGCATAACAACTATTCCCATAGCATTTATACTGTGCTGAGAACTAATCAAAGATACTCGAAAGCATAAAAGAGGAGGTAGAGTTAATGTCCAGACACTGGGCCACTTTATTCATCGGACTTATGCACACATGGGTTTTGGTGTCCAGCTGCCAGCCCCCCGCAGATACTGAGGACATCTGTATATACCTTTGCTCCCCTCTTGGTTTCAGATATTATGGAGAAAGTGCCAGTGGTCGGTGTGAGAGGTGTGACAAGAGCTGCAAGGCATGCCGAGGCCCACAGCCCACAGACTGCCAGTCTTGTGACACCTTTTTCTTCCTGCTGCACTCCAAGGGGCAGTGTCGTCGTACTTGCCCTGAGCACTACTATGCAGACCAGCGCTCACAGACCTGTGAGAGGTGCCATCCAACTTGTGACCAGTGTGAAGGTGAGAATATGCCGGTATTCAGCACATGAAAATGGAAATTTGAAAAGTTTGCCTTTTTGTTTTGCAGTGGGATTTCCTAAAATATATGAAGGTAATCCTAATGAAGTCTCCCAGTAATGGGGGAGACAGAGTCCCACATGGTCTTCTCTTGTCATCAAATGAGGCTTCCAGTACTGAGACTGGGTTACATTTGTTTGAGTTGTTGGTCAAGGGGGTCCCATGGAACTCCCTGAACAGCCTAGGCTACTGCCAAGACAATGGGATGCTTTCTCCAAACTGACAGCAAGGTCCTGTTGTTGAGGACAAAATCCACACAACTTGTTGAGAAGTCGAGCTGGTGCCTTCATAGAACCTTAACTCTAATTCAGTCCTACTGGTTTTGGTGCAGGGAGGTACTCTGTAGGCCACAAAAAGAGAAATGTAAACACCAACCCAGCCTCAAAACCTTTGACCTACATCTGTCCTGCCTATAAGACATGCTAAGGCAATGGTGGCACACAATTTGGAGATTAACCAACCAATGTCTGGTTGACTTAAGGCCCACGCCACAAGACAGAACCCATACCTGACACTGCTTGCGTAATGAAAAGCCCCAGAGGCCTAGGGTAAAACCAAACACAACTAGTTTAAACAAAACAAAACAAAAAGGTGATTTGAATATTTCCCTATTCAGATCCCTTTAACTTCGGTCTTAATTCTTATTCTACATATTCTAAAGTCAAGAACCACCTACAAGTACACAGAACCAGCAGCAGCCACCCAATACGCCACTGTCTCACACGCCCCTGACATGATTTGGTTCCCCTTCCTTAAAAACAAAACCCCGAAACCCTGAGCTTGAACATCATCTCTAGAGAGCAAGTCTTGGTCCTCCTGGCTATATTCCTCCATCCCACTTCTGTAATTCAGTGTTTCATCAGAGCTTTGTAATGTGACTTTTTTCGGGTGCTGGTAATTAAACTTTGGGCCTTACACATGCTAGGCTGGCATACTGCCTACCATGGAGCTGCCTTCCAGCCTCACACTACATTTTAACTAAATATGCCCATCTATCCAACTGCAAGCCTCTCCAACAAGGATTATCAGGATTATATACTGTTCATTTTGCAGCCCCGCCTCTTACACTTTAATACAATACTTGATAAGTGTTCTTACGTGTTAAATAAAATAAAATGAAGTAAATAATTTCTCTTTTTCAAACCGGAAAATGCTCAGCTCCAAATGTTTCTCCAGCCGTGCCTCCAACAAAATGTTGCCTTGAATGTTTTTATTCTCCTACATCCATTTCCCAAACTGCCAGATTACAGGCATATACTACCATACCAGTTTGTGAGGTGATGGGGACTGAACCCAGGGCTCTGCATAAACTAAGCAAACACTCTGCAAGCTCACCCATGTCCCAAGCCTCATTGTCATTCTTCTTAGCTTTCAGGTATGTGTGTACTTTAGAATGTTCATCTTAAGCTCATTGTGAATGAGAAAGTTAGATTTGGGTTCTTTATTCCTTTGACTCTTCCTTCATCCTTACCTTGTTTGTTTGTTTGTTTGTTTGTTTGTTTGTTTGTTTGAAACAGCATCTCTCTATGTCAATATGGCTGTTCTAGAATTTGCTATGTAGACCTGCCTACATCTTTACTTCTTAAAATCTGTTACTCAGTTCACTTCACCTGTGTCTCCCAACAGAAACTCCATCCAGACTAGTATGGTCCATTTTTCCCAGAGGTGACATTCTTGTCAGTACAGATCTCACTGAGAAACCAAATAACAGCATAGGAGAGGACTTATGTGTGACAGCAGAGTCCAGCCCTAATTCCTGTTTAAATTCTGGGCTTTGGCTCCAGTCTCTTGTGAAACACTTTCTTCCTTCGATGGTTAAAAAAAAAAAAAAAAAACACACACAGAAAGTTGAGCTCACATCTGCCACTGCCCACTTCCTGTCCTGGCAGAGAAGGCAGGGGGCTGGCCCTGATTGTCCCTGTGCACTTCCCACTTCTGTCCTGGCAGAGCTGCAGGTGCTCCGCCCTAATACTCTTCAGGTCTGTTTGCTTTCTGGATCAAAGAGACTTCATCTAAATAGGTTAGCCAAAATCTCTTCTTGTTTTTTTCTCTGCTATTTGTTTTCCTATCTCAGTATGCTTAGAATGTGCCAAGCTATATCAGAACCTGAATTTACATATGATTTTTATTGATTTTTGAGACAAGGATGGCCTGGAACACACTGTGGCCTTGAACTCACAAAGACCTGTTGGCCTCTGCTTCCTGAGTACTTGGTTGGATTAAAGGCGTGTGTCACTGGGCTCAGCAGTGCATTTTTATTTTATATGTTTGAGTATTTTGCCTGCATGTATGTATGTCAGTGCACCAAACGCATTCAGTATTCACAGAGGCCAGAAACTGGAGCTATAGAAGGTTGGGAGCAACAAAGTGGGTGCTAGGAATCCAATCTCCACCCTCTGGAAGAACAACCACTGTTCTTAACCGAGCCATCTCTCCAGCTCCACATTTAAATTTTTTGGTGTATATGTGTTACTAAGGGATAAACAGTTTCTTCGAAGATTGCATAATAAATTTTTGTCCAACCTCATCTTGCTAATTCAAAAGCCTAGAGTTATTTAGTACCCTTGAGGGCCGGGATGGCTAACACCTGGATGAAACAAAGGCCAATCTGATCCAGATTTGGGGTTCTGTGTATGCATACATCTCTCTCTCTCTCTCTCTCTCTCTTTTTCTTCCTCCCTCTCTCTCTCTCTTTCTGTGTGTGTGTGTGTGTGTGTGTGTGTGTGTGTGTGTGTGTGTGTATGTCTGTGTGTGCTGAGTAGACCAGGCTGATCTGACTTCACAATCCTCCTACCTTAGCTTCCCTAATGTTGAGCTTACAAGTGATTGCCGCCATATCCAGCCATTATCATCAGTGCCTTGATCCATATGTATCTACTTCTAACCAATGGTTTTCATGACTCCATTCTTCCACACATCAAATTTCTAGCTGGAATCTCACGTTATATATCCAACAAACACCCTAAACCTCTCACTCCATTCTCACACCACTTTTTTCCTGTTTCTTAGCTTGATAAATGGCTCCATTACATTCCCTCTTGCCTGACACTAACCTAGCATTATCCTCTTCTCTTCTTGATCTCTCTGTCTCCACAGTTAGTCTCTTAAGTCCTGTGACTCCTTAAATACCTCTGATCTCATCCCTGCACCTTAGTCATTAGTGTCATTCTCTCAGACTCTCAGTTTGTTGCTTGAATGACCAGTTAGTATCAGTTAACTAAGTGGCCTTCCTGTCCCAGTAAGAGCCTCTTAGTGGCCATCAGTTCTCTATGTTATCAGACTGATAATAGAGGGCAATAGGGCACTCTTCTGCTTAGAAGCAGTCCAGCACTGACCTTATCTGCATCTGAGGCTCTTCCCCCACAGGCATTCCTCACATCCGCCCTTGACCCCCATTACCTCCATCTCCAACTCCAAGCACAGTGACTTACTATAAATCTGAACCAACATCCCCTCCAGCCTGTCTCCAAAATGCTCCCTCAGCCTGCTCCACCAGGACCGCTTTCTGCTCCATTACACTTAGCATGTTTTCCCAAAAGCCTTTCCCCAGCCTTCCATTTGGTGTTCTCTTACAATTCTGGGTCTCCATTCATCTATGTATTTACTCAACAAACATGTACCCAGCTCTGTGGCTCAGACGAGGTCCATACACACGAACAAAGCAGATCGGGTTCCTGGAATCCAGGTTAGCCTACTTTGTGTAATTTTCATTCTTATTTTTGTTCTTGGAAACTGTTTCTATGATAAAAAAAAAAAAATACTCCAACTTCCCACACACACACACACCAAAAAAAAAAAAAAAATAGGGGAAGAAGGGTTTATTTGAACTCACAATTCCAGGTTATAATTCATCATCATATCAGGGAAATCAAAGAAGCAAGAACTCAAAATCTCCTAGTCACATCCACACATAAGTGTGGTAAAAATGAGATGCCTACAAATAACTGTGTTGTCATTTCATTTGCTAGTTTCTCCCCATTAGTGTTGTGCAGTGAGCCAGGGGAGGACACTTGGTTTCTAGTTAAGATCGGGCAACCATCATTAGGTAAGTTAATGTCTCTTAACACAGGCACATCAAAGCGGAGCACAAACCATATTTGAACATTTTAATCAGGATTGGAGATATCATTTATGATGTCAGAGGACAGTTTTAAGAAGTCTACATTTCTCTACCAGAGACTTGAGATTCACTATCCAGTTAAGGACGGCAGCTTCGAGTATCCCTAGCCCAAGTTCATCAACACAGGATCCCCAAGACAGGATTCAGGGGTGACTGTCAGTACTGGGTGGCTCTGCAGAATACACACATGTTATATTCTTCTTTGTCTTCCTGATTGGGGTTTGGGCCCTGGAACTCACACGGCTAGCATCTCCTGGCCTTGCTGTTCATTTCCTCTGGTGATCTCTCTTCACATACCTCATACATCCTTTGCTAGTTGGTGAAGCTTGTGCTCACTCTGGTTTTATAACACAGAGATTACAAAATCTGAGGATTCCCCCCACACACACACACCTCAGGCAATTAATTAAATGGGGGAAAAAGTATAAATTTTTAGGAAACATTAACTGCCATACTAAGATTAGGAGCATGTAGGAAATGAGTCCAGAAAAGTTTGGCAGTCTAAATGAGCAGGGCATCTGTGATCCATCCACATCTGATGGTCCGATAATTTTAGTTGTTGAAAAGAAAACCACTTGATAGGCACGGTGGCACACACCTGTAAAACCAGCACTTAGAAGACTGAGGCAGAGAGATTGTGAAAGTTTGAACACCATTGTGTGCAGCCTCCAGAGCCACCTCAATCCTGTGGCACATGTCCCTTCTTTATCCTCCTCATATGGTCCTGAGGCCTGGACCTTCTCAAGCTGCTTCTTTCTGCACCGCACTCCTTCCCCAAGGCTACCCTGCATGAGTTGAACTCATGGGGCTGGCTTGGGGGAGAGAGGGTGAGAATAGGGGAGGTCAGTGTGAGGGAAAGCATATGGCGAGTTGTTCTGAATTTTAAGGAAGGGTCAAAAGGTCCATCTTTCCAGCCTCGAGGCTCTATAGAAGCAGTAATAGGCACGGGTTCTTATCCTTGAAAAAACAGAATGCTCAGGAACTGAACTCTTTGTTGAAGATCCCAAGTGCTTGGAATACAGCAAACCAGGACGTGTAAATAAAGTCACTGGTTCCCACTAAGGCTGACACACACCACTGAACACTGCCTAGGGTCTGGACTTCAGCCAGACTGGAAAGGGAGCAGCCCATAGTGCCATTAACACAGGGGGAGGGCCTGCTAGCCTGCTGCACAGAAGGGAGGCCATCTAAAGAAGAATGCATATCTCAAACTACCTAGCAACGAGGATTTTGAATCCTCGAGGAGACCACAAATGTTTCATGTGATAGGAGGAGAAATAAAGGTTTCATAAACATTCCTCTTCCCATGCTGAAAATGGAACCCAGGGCTTTCCTGGTGCATTCAGGGCAGGGGGTGACCACGGGGTACACCCTGGCCCCTCGGGGTTCAGAACATTCTACATGATTCTTCATTTTCCAAAGATTTTTTGCTGTGACACACAGCCTTTCATCCTCAAATTCTCAGTGTCAAGACTACGGGTCTCTGTGGATGGGACCACAGATTGTGTAAGTCTTTATTTTGTCTTGTAGACCACGTGGCATCCTCTGTCACCTTTCTGCTTCAATTTACTTGCCGTTTTCCTTACTGCCAAGTGTTCTGACACCAAGACAAGGGTTAGAATATGAAATCTGTCTCATAATGTGAATTTTTTTTCTCTCTCTCTCTCATTCAGGAAAGGGGGCATTGAAATGCTTGTCCTGTGTGTGGAGCTACCATTTCCAGAAAGGAATTTGTATGCCGGATTGTGTTGTTGGGGAATACAGAGACAGAAAGGTACTGAGACCTGGGGTTGGTATATGCCCTTCCACACATACACTTTTGTGGAGCTCAGCTCCTACATGCCATTCTGGGAAGTGAAAATGGCCTAAACTCCTACACTCACCACAGGCTATGTTTAACACAGTAACATCTCTTTCATTCATAAGACAGTGGAGCTACCAACCTACTTCGTCCGCTTAGGTCACAGGGACTGAAAGGACCTGAGATAACTTGAGCCCCATAGCCATTCTTTCTGACCAAGAGGAAGCTCAGCCCCCTGTTACAACAGAAATACAAAGCTTCCTCTTCCCAGTGGCTGAGCAGATCCTGGGAACACAGGAAGAAGCTCACTGGCCTCGATCTTCCATTTCTTCCACATCTTCCAGTGAGGGCAGGATAACAGTTCTCCTGGGAGCCACAGAGTTGCAGAGTCCGTTCACTTCTTGATTGTGTTTCTAAACTTAAAACCCAAAGAAAATGCATCAATGATGAAATTAAAACAAATCAGTATGTTTACATATAAGCTCTTGTTGAATTCTGATACCAGAAATACAGTTCAAAGATGCAGGCTCAGAGAAGTTAAATGACTTGCTAACAGTCACTCAGACAGGAAGTAACATGGTGGGACTGTGCCCAGAAGATTTGACAAGAACACCCAAAACACTCTGTCAGCATCTGAAATACTCCACAAGGCTTCAAGGAAAGCAATTTCCACTCTTTTTTTATTTAATGTATTTATTTTCAGTGGTGCCTCACACAATTCAAGGCAAGTCCTCCACCACTGAGCGTCCAACCCTTCTGTTCCTCTTCCTCATCCATCTCACTGAAGTTACAGATGTACACTGAGAAGGTATCCTCTGGGCCAGTGAGATGGCTTAGTGGGTAAAAGTGCTTGCTGCACATGCAACTTGAGTGTGACCTTCAGATCCCATAGGAGTTGGAGAGAATCAGCTCCCAAAGGTTGTCCTCTGACCTCACACATGCATGCCTCCATATGCATCTGGAAACACACACAGACACACACACAATTGCAATAGTAGTAGTGGCAACAATACCAACAATAATTTAAAATGGAGCGACTTTCGCTAACCCAAATTTATAGCATCAAGGAAGAAAAGAGTTGTTGCCCTGGACTTTGAACTCCCTTCCTATGAGTTTTACAGTCTTAGTTATAGCCATCAATTATAATTTGAGTCTATGCATAAGAATCCAGACAGCAAGCTGGGTGTGATGGCACACGCCTGTGATCCCAGCACTCAGGGAAGCAGAGGCAGGCAGACTGCTGCAAGTTCGAGACCATCCTGATCTACAAAGAGACTCAAAGCTGTACACAGAAACCCTGTCTCGAAAAACTAAAAACAAATTAAAACAAAAAAACAAAACAAAACAAACAAACAAAAGAATCCAGAAACCATGGAAGTCAAGAGAGTAACTAATATAAAAGAGTAAGGGCCAAAGAAAATCACAGCACTAACTTGATGGAAAGTAGAAATCAAATCCCAGCATTCAGAGGGCTGAGGGCTGAAGCAGGAAGATTGTGAGTTTGAAGCCAGCCCAGACTATGAAGAAGACCTTGACTAGATAGATGATAGATAGATAGATAGTTGTTGATTATTAATATTTATTATTGATTTATCTTTTAGTTAAACAGCAGTTATTCCTAAACCAACTGTATACCCAAATTACCACACAGATACTAGGATTTATTTAATTAACCTACAGCACAATGCTGTGCAATAGTTACTCCATCCTAAACCTCCACGCCCGCAAAGCTTCCTCCCATTCAGATTTCCCACATTATGCTTGCTTTCAGTCATATCTTAGGTCTGGTTCATCTCTCCTCATGGTTCCAAGACCTCTCCTGCAGATCTCTCCTCCCAGACTCCTCCCACTCCCTTCTTTCTCCTCCCCTCCAGACCAGGATGTCCCACCCTATTCTCTCCATTGCTCAGCATTGGCTGGTTGTTTTATTGAAAATACATAGAACAAATGGTAGCGTGTTTACACAAACTTACAAAAACGGGTGATGCTTAGAATGAACATCACAACACAATGTCCGGATTGAAACCAGAGAGTGGCATAGAGAAGTCAGCATTTGAATGAACAAGGGTAAATTGTATACATTCCACAAGAACATTATAGCAACAACAGATCAAGAGGAAAAAGAAAAACTGCACATCCACACAAAAATAAAAAGAATGGAAACTATTGTGTCACCTGTGCTAATGACAGAATACAAAATGCTAAGAATTGGGTCAAACCGAAGAACAGTAGGAAGGGGCCACTGCCATTCTACTCTTCCTGACATTACCAAGTGTGAGTGCTAACTTCAGCATTGTCAGGTCTACATCTTGAGAAGGACTCAGGAACAGACTAACATCTGGACTGTCTCTTTTGCAAAGTGGAGTGATGTGGAAACGCCTAGACTGTGAAAACGTAGGGCAAAGTTCAGATGCAACTAGTCCTTGACTCCTCCTGCCTTTGAGTTTGTTACATTACAGCAAAATATTCTAGAAGCCTGTCATTCTTCTGCCATTGTCCCTAGCACGTCTCAGAGATCAGGGCCCAGCAAAGGTTTCCTCCAACTGCAACAGTTGGTTCCGTCAATGGAGTAGAACAGCCCACCCCACCCCTACCATCCCCACACACATTCTTCCCTGTCCACAGAGACAAGAGAAATAGCCATTCAAGAACTCCGGTACCCGGTGAATACCTCTGCACTCAAAAACACCTCTTCACTGTTCTTACCAGGGAGAAAATTTTAACTGTAAAAAGTGCCACGAGAGCTGCGAAGAGTGCAAAGGACCCGGGGCCGAGAACTGCACGGTGTGCCCAGCTGGCCTGCTGCTGCACGTGGAGGACAGCCGCTGTCTCCACTGCTGCAATGCTTCCCACCCCCACAGATCCCGGGACTGCTGTGACTGCCGGAGCTCCACAGGTGGGGGCAGCCGAGGTGGCCTGCGGAAACACGGTGCTTTGCTCAGAAAGCTGGGGGGAGCGAAGGGGGAGGAGGGCAAACAGATCAAGAAGTCCCTGCTGTGTGCCCACCATCCACCATACTTAAAGCTACTTGGCTCACAAGTTCTGCTTGTGACAGATAGCCGAGGAAAACTATTTAATAAAGGAAGGGGTTTTTTTTGCCTCATGATTTCAGAGATTTGAGTTTATGGTCACTCAGCACCACAGCTCACCCCATGACAATCAGGAAGCAGAGAAGTTGGGGAAAACACATCTTTCCAGGACTGGTCCCCCGGGACCAGTTTCCTCCAGCTAGAACCCACCACCTGTTTTCTACCACCTCCAAAAAATGCCATCATATTTCGTATCCATCAACAGGTTCATCTTTTGAATAGGTCGAATCCTCAGGATCTGTCACGCCCCAAAAGTTCATCAACCGGCAACCAAGCCCCCAAGTCTTTGGAGAAATATCTCAGGTTAAAACCTTGATCAAACAGACCCCATTTTAGTAACAAAGAGACAGGGGCCCAAAGGTTTGGGTTAGCATGCTCAACTCCACAGCAACAGTAAGAGGCTGGTCTAGAACCAGGCTTGGTGGCCTCTGCATGTCATCTGAGTGCTTAGGAGGTAAAGGCAGGGGTATGGGTGGTTCAGGGCCACTCTGAGCCAAATAGAAAGTTTGAGAGACCATCTGGAGCTACTCAGTTTTTTTCAGACTAGACTTCATCTTGAAAAAAAAAAAATCACACGCACATATATGCACACCCCAGACGCTCATCTGGAATTTGAGCATGGGCCTGTTGGACTATAAAGCCCCAAAGCCTCATATTCTTTCCACAATCATGCTGCCCCGGATTATCTAAGTCCAGAATCTGACCTTTATAAATGTATTTTGTTCCTTCTTATCTTTGCTCCTGAGGGGAAAGGAATTGGTTATCGTGGTTCTACTGAAGAATCACTCTAATCTTGCTCAAATCTAGCCATTTGTTAGAGATTTAGAGCATCTTACAAATGAGATATCACTGAAAGCAAAGACTAAGTGAAACAACTTTACCAATTCCAAGTCGTCAACTGTCCTCCAACCTCCAACCCTCTCCACGTATATTAAAACTTAGAAAGATCCTAGGACCTTGAGATTGCTCAGGTTTTAGGAGTGTCCATATGGCTGCTCACAAGGAATGTAGCCCCAGTTTCAGAAGATCTAGTGCCCTCTTCTGGTCCTATCAGGCGCCAGGCACAGATGTTATGCATATATATACATGCAAGCAGAACACTTAGAAACACATGTGCCCGGCAACAATTTTACCACTGATCCACCAATGTAAGCCATGCACACACATAAAAATAACAATGAGTACATCTTCAAACAATACAAAACTTAAAAGTTTCGAATGGAGGGATCCCTTCTATGTGGAAAACATATTCTTAGAATAAATTTTCTCCTCCAGAAACATACTGTTTCCTTGGGATTCAGATGTGTCATGCCAAAACTGTTATGTCCATTTGTAAGTAAAGAAAATCTGAAGGCCACTAGTGATACCAACCATGTAGTTAGTTAGTTAGTTAGTTAGTTAGTTAGTTAGTTAGTTAGTTAGTTA